AGATAAGATAAGATAAGATAATGTAGCTATCCTAAAATCTACAAAAGCTAAATACTAAGGGGGACCTTAGGGAGGGTGCTTAAATCTCATTCAGAATGGCAAACAAGATAGACACCAGAAGAAGTTGAACAGAGGAAACAAGAGCCACCCAACAGGGGATCAAAGCAGATGCTGAAACTCACAGCCAAGCTTTAGGCAGATGCAGGGAGTCTTATGGAAGAAGTAGGTGGCAGGGACAGAAGGACATGAAGGGCATAGGAGTCCCACAATAGAACAACAAAGCTAAAATATCTGAGCCCAGGGGGTCCTGCTCCCCTGATGTAACAACCAAGGACCATGCATGGAGAGGACCTAGACCCTCTGCTCAGATGCAGCCTATAGACAATTCAGTCTCCATGTGAATTCCTGAGTAAGGGGAGCAGGGGCTGCCTCTGTCATGAATCCAGTTGCCTGCTCTTTGTTCACTTGCCCCTGTCAATGAGGCCTTATCAGGCCACAGAGGATGAGGATCTAGGCAGTTCTGATGAGATTTGATAAGTTAGGGGCAGATGGCAATAGTGGAGAACTCGTCCTTTCAGTGGACTAGGGGAAGAGGATGGAGGAAAGACAGAGGGAGATAGGGCTGGGATGAGTTGAAGGAGAGAGCTTCAATTGCAATATATAATGAATAAACTGTGAAAAAAATTTAAAAAATGACATAAGCCAGTTTATTTTATGATTTTCAGTAAATTCCTCACCATGCCAGTCATTTAACATTAACCTCAGATGTATTTCTCTCACCTGTAGGAAAAATAATTTATGCATATGAGAAAAGACTAGAGTACTGTGCAGTACACAGTAGTTCAAGAAGTTACTGCATATTTGTATATTTTATATCTGTGTAAATGAGGATGCTAATTTAAGATTGGATATGGGGGAAAGACAGTAAGACTCATGGAAGTCCTGATCCATCTTGAACAGCCACCTGTGTGTTGCACTGAAATGGTACACTCCTTTTCCTCAGCAAACCTTGAATTGCACAGAATTGAGTGCCTTAGCCTTTCTATTAATTTAACAATGACTACTATGCTGTTGCTGAGTTCTCTAAGATGATATTAAATATTTATAACTACTGAAATGTAATCCTATAGATACTAGGTGAAATCAGCTATTCAACTGATTGAAAGCTAACTCTTTGTGAAACTAGTGCAGTGAAATATCAACAATAAAAATTCCCTTTTGTTTTAATAAAATAAGTGCATACTACCTTCCTTTTTTTTTTTTTTTTTTTTTTTTTGCACTGGTGAGGTGCACATCTATCTTCTCATCTATCTATTTATTTGAAGAAAAGGAGCCCTTTCTCGGAGACATTAACCATGATTCTCTTTCATGGGTAAATATTAACATATCAGAACACAGAATCCAGCAACTCTTCTCTGTGTCCCTGCGGAGAATGGAAATAGTAATATCCATTATTGAGCTTTACTCATCTCTGAGGAGGGCGGGCATCTGTATGTGAACTCACAAGGCAGCAACAACAGGGTTGAGAGAATACGCATATGCAACGTCTATGAGACTTCACTAGTCAGGGTCTCTTTTCCTTCGTCAGTCAGACGGATTCTGACACAAATTTAGACTCTACACGGAAAATAACAGTTCCACAATATTCAGACATGTTCGCACACAAACTGTGAGTTTAAAGAGAGTATAGAAACCCGGTACTTCATGATGTTGGTGTGTTGGTAGGTACTTGTGATGGTCCGGAAGGCTCACCCTAAATGTGGCAGATACTATTTCATGAGCTCAGGTTTCAACCTGAATAAAATGAACAGAGCAAGCCAAGCACCTGCACCCATCATCCCCTGCTTCCTGACTGTGGATGCAATGTCACCAGTTGCCTAAAATTCCTGTCACCCTGATTTCCTCATAGTGATGGACTATACCCTCAACATGGGACTCAGATAAAAATTGTCTTATTTAAGTTCTTTTAGGTCAGCTGTTTTGCTCCAGGGCAATGGTAAGAGTAACTAAGGCAGAGAACATAGGTCTATGGCCCTGACAATAGAGCACTGTAAGATGATGTGACAGGGTCAGCTCTCCTGCCACTATAGCATTGTTGAAATCTCTTCGGCAGCCACCAAAGCTCAGGGGCAATCATTCTAGATATGAATTTTCCAGATATGTTTCCTATAGTTTCAGTAAAGAAACCAGGCATTGGAGGTGCAGAATGCCCCTACTGGGTTTCTGTGGTCATTCAAGTTTCTTTTAGTTCTTCCCTGGGTCTGTGTGTGCAACAAACGGCCCACAGCAGGTCACGTCTTTGCAGAGGAAGGTCGCTGTGTGACTGCGTGTCACTTTTGTGTGGTGAATTGGGAGACTTCAGGAAGAACAGAAAAGTAAAGGAAACCTTGGCAGCTGACAAGGCCCGTTTCTGCAGGTGTGTCATATACATCTATTTATCTTCCTGTTAAATCTTTACTTCCCAAGTAAGCAAACTCGAACTAATTATTCTAGCCCTTCACTTGGAAATGATCTTTCATAAAATGTATTTTCACCTTGACTTGTTTTTCTTAATGCTTATTTAAACCTACTACAGTCATTTATCTGTATATTTATGAGAAAGTATACAACTGGAACAATATACACCTTGTCTTGTGAATTTTGGCCTTACTTTTTGTGTAATTTTAGGTTTTTTTCCTCTCCTGAAACATTCTTAGTCCATCAAGACACATCTTTTCCTTCCTTTTTCTTTTTCTACATTTTGATCCTGCTTTCTATTTCTTTCATTTTTTTTTTATTTGTTGCAAAGGGTGTGAAAAGAAAAGTTGTGCAGAAAAGAGCATTTGTACTCAATTAACTATGAGTTAATTATGAGTAATTGTACTCAATTACTATGCTTCTCTGTGGGTCCTAGTGTAATACTTTACTCTAGATTGTGCTCATCCCTGTTCCTTCTAGGACATATCATTTTAATGTTCCTTGCCACTACCTTGACCATATTCAAACAAATGAACACACAAAACTTGAATGGTATTTTGCTGCTGTAGAAAAATGTGGACTAGTCCTGGAGTGCATATTGAAATGGCCACCTCTGTATGCCTGAATCTGACCCAGAGATATTCAGTCTATTGGATTTGCTGTGCCTCAGCCCTACACTCTATGTCCTTCTTTTTGTCATCCCATTTCTATTTCTATTTCTATTAAGATAGCCTTTAGAAAATCTAGCCTCTGGACTGAATATATCTGACAGTTCTAAAGCTTGATTAAAATTCCTGAGACACTGAATAGAATAACTGAAAACTAGTGCTTAACTTAAACAGCTCCACAGACTCTCCCAGATGTGGAGCTTATTCCAAAATGCCAGTTTGTGAACTGGCTAAGTTGAAATGGCTTTGGAATACCATTACATGACAAAGGCTGTGGTTGGGCATCCATGATTTTCTCCAGTGTGTTTGATAGACAGCTTCATGTGCTAGAATTTGGAAGTCCAGTTCTAAGCTTCAAATCTGAAGTCAATCTGGACAGAACCTTACAGCTCTCAGTTGATGATATCACTGTTATCGGTCTACTTTAGTACAGTGGTTGTCTTATTAACAAGGATATAGCTTATACCATTTACTATCGAGGTAAAAGAAAATCTGGAGCTACAAATGTAGACACTTCCCTAAAACTACCTGTTGAGACTCAGATATCGCTATAAAAGGGATTAAGAGCAGAAGAGTGTTATGACATAAGTGCCTATATGTGTATTCACTCACTGCATTGTCTTTGAGAGCCATAAACCTGATTTGTTAAGCTTTTGGCTATGGTTTCTCTGATGTCAACCACACAGTTCCTGGAAACATTTTCATAGACAGTCATGAATGGATCCCAGCAGTTTCAATGTATTGGTCCTTGATGTGATCCATTATTCTGAAAATGGGAAAGATCCCACCACTGAGGAAGCAAACAAAATGTTTTGGAGGTAAAATTTCAACAGGAGTCAACAGTATTAACTTCAGATTGCACAGCTGGGCCTCAAGTTCTCAGCACATGCAAACATAAATGAATACATTATTTTCTGAACTCCCTCATTTCTCAAATATATGACAATCTGCAACACTCTCCCTTAACAGCTCTATACCAGAGTAGAATTGAGAAATGACACAAACATTAGAACAGGAGTGTTAACTAATTGTGAGGTGATTTCTCAGCATACAGTGTTCCCAGAATTCTGGAACTGTTTAATACAATCCTGATTGTCTATCTCTCTAGAGCCCCTTTCTTAAAACGCAGTTTCATGCAATAAAAAGCACGTTCATTTCATGCAACACAGCTCAGCTGTTGCTTATAGTTCCAAATACCCCATTCCACAGGGTACAACTCAGTTGGAAGTTCCCAGTACAAAGAAACATGCACAGCACAGCAATAGGAATTATTTACCACCAACACAACAAAGTCAAGGAGCTGCAAAGCTATAGTAGCCAGAGGAGGATTAGCTTTCCTGATTGCAGTTCGAGAAATGTCTCTTACATTATAATCCACTAGTTTGGCATTGTCTCTGCACTTGACTATGACACATTACATTCAGAGTAACTCAGATTAAATTCCTGGCTCAGTGTTCCCTCAATTGCAGTCCTTCCCTCAAATCCAGCCCTAATCTTTTGGATTTGTTTTGTTAAACAATCCGATATTCCTAAAATATGTATTTCCTCCAATATCTTCTACTTTGCAAACTCCAAAACTGTTTGGCCAATTAATTAAAATCCAGTGAAGAACTGACTGTTAGCTAAGGCTTCAGACATGCAAAGCGCACAACCCTAAGAAACAGCAGCATCTGGGACAGGAGGCTCCCATTAGTTGACATGAGGATGGCATAGGTTTTACAGATCAAATACACACAACAAACCAGTGGTGGCCAACATTGGACTTACTGGATGGGATGCATAATTTGAGCAAGGACCCAGAACAGGGAGCCGCCTCTTCCTCTAGCTTGCAAACATTTATTTCACACCACCTCAGGCCACTCACAGTTTGCTTACCTGCTCATTGTTGCTCTCCCACCATTCCCCATACTCCCTTTGGGGGTGAAACATTCTATTTCCGACTTGTGCTGGGCCAGTCTCCTGTCTTTGTACCTGGTGAGCATGAACAAGGACAGGAGCAAACAGAGAGATGTGATTGTGTACTTAACCTCCAGGTTGAGGAAGACCCATGACTGCAAGCATGGTCGCCCCACACCAAAGCAAAGCTTTCTGCTTCTCACTGTATTGGGGGCTGACCTATGATATTTACTTGATGATGCCAGTAGTATATGGGAAAACCAGGAAAAAGTTTGTTACTTTGGGATTAAATCGCACACAATAAACTCTTTACACAACAGATTAATCTGTAAGTTCATCAAATCTGTTAGTCAATGATAAGAAGAATACAATTCCTAGCATCTAGAAGAAATCATAATTATTCAATAAGGATTTGTTTAGTGCTTACCATGTATCAGACTTTGTACTAGAGTTTTACCTAAATTTAATCCTGTCAGCAGTCCTGTGATAGAGGTTCTTTTATGATTATTTCCATGTTACTGGAGAAGAAATGTAAAATTGCAAAGATTAAGTAAATTGACAAAAGACAATCAGTAAGTAGTTACTCTGAGCATTGAGTGAAAAGTCAGTTTAGAACCAATTCTTGTCTTCCACAGTCACGTTTTTACCAGTAAATTATGTCATTGTTCCTTCTTACTCAGGGATACCATATCTGAATATTTATTTTATGTATTGACAATACTTAAAAATGTCTTATGTGTGTGTGTGGTTGTGTGTGTGTGTGTGTGTGTGTGTAAGGTTAATAAAACATTAAAAGTTGGGAAGCTTTTTTTTTTTTTAGACCTGGGTCAGTTTTTGGTGGCCCACAATTTGGAGGGTGTCTCAAATACATTTTGTAACAAAACCAATAGCTCACCTTCCCAAGGGGCTACTAGTTTTTTTTTTTCCTAAAATGAGTAACAAGATACTTTTAACGTGAATTTACAACATGTACAATATGAGACCTTCTGAGCCCTGTTTAGATATGGAGTGCTTGTGTAGAAACAGTTTCCTACTCATTGTTCTAAATCTGTGGGGTAAGTGAAGAAACAGTGAGTTCTGCTTTCAAAGAAGGCACATGAGAGTGACTTAACAGCCTTTGCCAAAGTTCCAAGCCAATTTGATAGAAAAAAATAAACTTCCTGCGTACATCGTGAGGTACAAGGCTTGAGAGTGTGTACCTTTTTCCATATAGTCTGACATGATTCCTGGTATTCAATAGATGATGGAGAAAGTGAGTTACTATGAGAAGACTTGTTAACCCCAGGTTAGTCCTGTTCTCTTTAGTTTATTTTTCTTTTCTTTTTCTGTCTAGCAAGTGTAAGAACATAAAACAGAATGTCATGTAATCAAGATAATTGGTCCTAATGTAGAGGTCTTAGGATATATATCTTCTAAATGTTAACACTATTTTGTATTTTATATTTTAATTAAAATGGATCATTACATGAAATTCAATGGGGGTGACGGATTAACCTATGAACTGGGTGTTGGTTGAGCTTCTATAATACATTAACAGTGGGTTTTTATGCCAGCCACAAAGAGTAATGCCCAGATATTGTCTTAGGGGGTTTATGGAATTATGGGAAAAGATAAAGAAGAAGAAAGACACAATTGACTGAAGAAGGCCATGCAAAAGAGGAAAAGAACTTGTTTAGAAAAGTAAAACATAGGCAAAGGTAGATGAGGAGATCTTTGTTTTATGAAAAACGTTTTAGAAGGTAAGCTCTGGTTAATTACCTGTCAGTGGACAGTACTCCATATACCAGTACTAAATATTTGTGAATTGGATGGTGCAACCAATATACTAATATACCAGTTCAACTAAAATGGCATCACTGGAATACTAAAATTATTATGACCTTTCAATTCTTACAAAGGGACCTAAGCATGTTTTTGAAAATCATTTGTTAGGGTAATAGCCGAATAGTAATTTAAAAATATTCACTAGTATTTTAAAATAGCTACACTTTTATTACTCTAAATACCTCCTGTCCCAGACTCTCTCTCACTAGGTTTTAGCTTTACATTGCTCTCTCCATGTCCTCTCTCTGTATCTGTCTGTCTCTATTTTATACTCTTTCATCTCTTTCTTACTGTTTCTGACTCTTCCTCTCTCACTCATTAGTTCTTGGACTTTTATTCTTATATCCATGTTCATTTTCTCTCAAATCATCATACATTTCTTGGTAGTGTTCATTTATATAACATACATTAAATTCTAAACAGTCTATTCTATTAAAACCTAACCTCTTCTGATAAGAACTTTTCACAGGCCAACCAATCGTAAACCATAGGGGGGTTATGATTGCCTGCATTCTGGTTTGAACTTAAGACCTCATACATGCTAAGCACATGCTTTGCTATTGATATGCATTCTTATTCATATTACAATGATTTTCTGTAAAATTTTAAAGCTTTGCTAAAGAAAAGACATTAATGGAGAGAGATAATAAGTTTAAAGAATAACTAGGAATATGCAGTTCTGGAACACATCATTTACTATTATAAATCTATCCCATTTGTCAAACACAGGTATGTTTTCTTCAGCTACCTTTGGTTTCTTCAGAAGATAAGAGTGGCATAAGTGTAGAAAATAATATGGAAGAAAAGAGTCTTCCTTGCAAAAACAAAAACAGTAAGTTATTGAGTGATGGACATTTGAATCACTTACAGCAGAAGTCAGTCAATATCACACAAAAATTATAGAGACTGTAGAGTTGGTCAGTTGTTAAGAATCTTCCAATCAAGAAAGTGGACATGGGTGAAGATGATCAATCCTCATTTAGAAAGACAAATGGGATGTGCATTGAATGTATGACAGGAGTCTACCGCAAAAGGCATCTGAAAGACTCTAGCTAGCAGTGTTTCAAAGCAGACACTAAGACTCATAACCAAACCTTGGCAGAGTGCAGGGAATCATATAAAAGAAGGGGAGTTAGTATGATATGGAAAGGATAGGAGCTCTACAAGTACCAAATATATCCAGGCACAGGGTCTTTTCTGAGACTGACACTCAACCAAGGACCATCTATGGATATAATATAGAACTTCTGCTCGGATGTGGCCCGTGGTAGCTCAGTAACCAAATAGTTTTCCAAAGTAAGGGGAACAAGGACTTATTTCTAAGAGGATCTCAAGGGCAGGATCTTTGACCTCCCCCCCCCCCCCCCAGGGGAGGAGCAGTTCTGTTAGGCCACAGAGGAGGACTGTGCAGCCAGCCTTGAAGATACCTGATAAAACAGGGTCAAATGAAAGGGGATCAGTGGACTTGGAAAGGGGCAGGGAGCAGACCAGGGAGGGAGCTGGGGTGGGGGAGGGAATGAGGGAGCAGGATACAGCTGGGACACAGAGTTAACAAATTGTAACTAAAAAGAAAAATAAAAATTAAAAAAAAATCTTCCAATCTAATGAAGTCCTTAGTTCTATTCCCAGTGCCTATGGAAAAAGCCATGTGTTGTGGCTTATGAGTGTAATCTCAGTGCTGAAAAGGTGGAGGGTTGTGACACATACTATGCTTCTAATATTGGGAAGGCAGGAAGAGGAGGATGCCTTTGACTCATTGGCTATCCACACTAGCCTGACCTGTGACTCCTAGGTCTTTGAAAAACCCTTTATCAAAAAAACAAAAACCAAACAAACGAACAAACAAAACCCAAAAAAACTGAGGTGGACAGCTCTAAGGAGTAATACTTCAGGTTGACTCTCCCAGCTTCCAATGTGTACATACGCGCACACACACATATACACACACACACAATCCCACAAAGGATGTTTTCAATAGGTAAAGGAGGATTTTTAAGATTTAGGCATAAATCCCGGAGTCCAGAGATGAGAGTACATAATCTGATTGGCCTGCTCTTTGATCACCTCCCCCTGAGTGGGGAGCAGCCTTACCAGGCCACAGAAGATGACAATGCAGCCACTTCTGATGAGAACTGATAGTCTAAGATCAGAAAGAAGGAGAGGAAGACCTCCCCTATCAGTGGACTTGGGGAGGGGCATGCATGCAGAAAGGGGAGGAAGGTTGGGATTGGGAGGGGAGTAGGGAGGGGCTTATGGGGGTACAAAATGAATAAAGTGTAATTAATAATAATAAAAAAATTTAAAAAAACAAAAAATACTGTTTGTAACAAACAGGCCCTGAAGAAAAATCTGAATGGATGATAGAAAATGGAAAGCTAACTGTAGGTGTTATCAAATCTTTAACAAACCTTTGTTATTATTTGTCTTTTTTTTTTTTTTTTTTGGTGCTGGACATTGGTGCTTGGTGCTTGAGACCTATCCATGGTAGGACAGTACCCTACGACTAAGCCGTATCCCAGCTCAGCTGAAAACATTTTACAAATTTAGGTCAAGAGACAAAGGATGAGAAAAAGATGAAGATGTTTAAAAAGGACTACATCCTGCAGTGTTTTGAAATAATGAAATTACATAAAAAAAGAAGGCAGAGTACACATTCCTACTTGATAATTATCTTATCCTTTCCAAATCTGTGTTCAAATGGCAGTACATTGTGCTACATCCACCTCACTCGAAAGAACAAGCCTCACTCCATATTTCCTGCTTTTATCAGGAGTATTTATACAGCACAAATAATATTTTATTTGCTTCTTTAATCTACTGTCTGTTTTTCCCATTAAAATGCCTAACAAAACATAAACTCTATGAAGGCGTGGATTTTGAGGAGTTTTAGTTACTTCTACCTTTTCCTGTGCTTGTGACATTGCTGAACTCATTATTTATAGGTGATAATTTCAGTTGAGAGTCTGCATAAATGCATGAATAACAGGAGAACCTGTTGTTATTCTGTTATTATGGACACATATTTATGTTTTAAAAAGGAAAGCTTAGCACATTCATGTTAAGCGCTCCTGGACTCAATAAAGTCAGAGAAATTATCTATGGGAGTAAAGTGGATGAGTCTGGAATTGTGTGAAAGCAGGAGTGAAAGAATGAAATAACTAATGTTCACAATACTATTGTCCATATGCATATAACCCCTCAAAAATGTATGACATCTACAGGTTGACAGTGCTGGATCTCTCATGAGGGAG